CCGTGGCCCCTGTCCTTCCCGCTGGCAGCCGTGACCGTCATCCCGTCGGTGGCGGTTTCGGGATCAATTGGTTTGGTTGTGTTTCTGCTGAGCCTGTGATTACATTTTGCCCTGTCCCGTTTCATCTCCTACGCATGGCGGTGGATCGACATCCCAGCTTTTAAAAAGCGCCTGGTGAGGTGCAGTGTCCGCCCATGCATTCTGCCTGGTGATGGTGGCTGGCGGGGCGCTTCAATGGCATGAGAACGTCAGGCCAGCTTCCCTCTTGGCGTGTTCCTGCAGAACTGTGCTTTGCACGTGCGAACAGACGACATCCCCTCACCTCAGTCGTTCCCACGTACAGTTCAGAAGTGGCAGCCCCTGAGGAGAGACAGTCCGCCATCTGAAGAACAACCTTAGTGTCCTGCAGCCGTAGGGCACCGCTCCTAGAGAAGCCCGGATCGTTAGACCCGAGCTGAGCTGGACGCCCCCATGAGAAACCCCCCAAAGGTTTTCACCGGAGACCTAGGAACGGTTCCCACCCCTTCTGCACTGGTCCCATCCCTCTCTCCCAGCTGTGCCAGGGCAGCAGAGTAAAATCCTGTGGCTTTGTGACTTCGCCGGTGTCCTCTTGGGCTGTTGCTGTTCTAACTGTGCTGCGTCTCGATCTGGATAGAGTAGATACTAACTGCCTCTTCCTGCCTGCCTTGGTTTCAGAAGGCGCCCTGGTCTGGCCTTCTCCCGCTGTGCTGCATGCTCCTTCCCTGAGAGGCAGTAGGGAGGGAGCCTGCTCGGCTGGGATGCCAGCAGGCCCACCAACAGGCCCTCGCCTCTCCTCAAGCCTGACTTAGCATGCTGTGGGGGCCCGGGGTGCTGGGAGAGGGTAGTCCTGGGTTCTTCTCCCAGGTCTCTGAAAACTCCCTGTCCATCATGCAAGAGCGCTGAAAGGGAGGTGGGTGACGGTGGGTGGACTGGGCTCCACTGAGTGCAAAGGGGAAGGGGATATTTCTGGCAAGGATGTCCTCTGCTCGGGAACCAAGTGAGACCTTGAGAAGGTGTGTTAGACAGGGTTCTCTAGAGAGATAAAACCAAATCGCTGATAATTTAATATATTTATTTATAAAGATAATTAGATATACAACAAGAAATGAACTGTTAAATCATATACAGATAAATATATAATACAAGAAATAAACAGTTAAATTATAAAGCACTACAAATGGCTCAATTCAACTCACTCCCGTGAGAGAGAGTTGTGAGAGACTAGCAGTCCTTCAAGTCTAGTCTGCTGCCAGATCTTCCTCTATTTATAGAGAGAGCTAGGCTAGCTCAGCACAGCAGCCAATCACAAGGCAGGTCACCAACTGCCAGCCAGGTCACCAACCGCCAGTCCCCAGCTCCAGGGATGTCTTAAAGGGACCTCAACTTATAGCGACACAGTCCACAGGCTAGGGGTCCCAGGTAGTGTAGCCTTTAAATTGAGGCACAGGACAAGCAAGGCAGCCGCACACTGGTCCGATGATCAAAGAGCGAGACAAGAAAGGCGAGGCTCACCAAGCCATTTACCTCTCTGCCCTTCAGTTAATCCCACTTGTGTTTATCGGCCAGGCTGGCACAATAAACTATCTCAGAAGGCCTCCTCATCTCTTTACTTCTGCTACTGTAAGAAGCAAGCAGAGTCCCTGGGTGGCCCAAACAAGTACGCACTCAGCAGCTGCTCACCAAAGGTTGAAGGTTCGAACCCACTCAGCAGTGCCTCGGAAGAAAGACCTGGCATTTGCCACCCAAAGGAAAAAACCAATGGGGCACAGCTCCACAGTTGGGTCCTCAAATCCATTGCCATGAGCTGGCCTTGGCTCAGGGGGCAGCTGGTTACAGTGGAAGCAAACATCATGTCAGATTCCTGAGAAGCAGTGGTGGGGGTGTGAGGTGCCATCAAGTCCGTTCCAACGCACACCGACCGTATAGACAACGGACCGAAGCACTGCCCGGGCCTGCGCCATCCTCACAGTCGTTCTCCTGTCTGAGCCCATTGTTGCAGCCACCGTGTCAGTCCACCTCGCCCGGCCCTTCCTCTTTTCTGGTGCCCCTCCGCTTTACCACAGCATGATGCCCTTCTCCAAGGACAAACTGTGCCCCGAAGCACCTGAGATGAAATCGGGCCAGCCTTGCCTCTAAGGAGCACACTCGTTGTGCTTCTTCTGAGACAGATCCGCTGGCTCTTCTGGCCCCGAGGTCCTGGTACTGGGGTTTCCTTCGCCAGCACCATCCTTCAGAGGCACCGAGTCTTCTGTGGCCTCCAGGCAGTGGGGGGCAGTGACTCAAGCTCCTTGCAGGCAACTCAGGGTCCCATAAACTTGGGCCAGTCACTTCTGCCCAGTGGACCTGTGGGTTTGTTCTTTTTTAAAATGAGGGGGTTTGTTTAGGTGATTGTTCAGGTCCTTTGCAGCTCTTTGGAGTTAAATATTAGCCAGATTTAAAGATTAAATGCCAGAGAATTGAAGGGGGAAAAGCATACAAGGACTATGAAACCTCAATCCTTAGATCGAGACCACAGAAGATGACTTTGCCCCCCTGGCTCTGGGGCAGTGCCGAGAGATTTGGGGCTTCCTCAGCTCCAGGAAGGGGGCTGGTTACAGGTCAGGGGTGCTGTTAAACATCCTACAGTGCAGAGGACAACCCCACAACAGTGAGTTATCTGCTCCCAAACGCCCACAGTGCGGAGGTTGGGAGGCCCATGGATGGAAGCAGCAGTTGGTGTGACTGTGGATCGACTTGAGCCGGCAGTCTCCTCAGCGACCCTGGCACCCCTCTTTCTCCTTGGACGTCACCCTCCCTTTCTCATGAAATCGCTGCCCTCCGTCAGCTAGTGTTCGGGCACTGCCTTTCTTCAGGAGTCTTTTTCCGTGTCTAATCTGGTGCTTTTCTTGGTCCAGGTACGACTGATCGTCCTAGTCCTTTTCCCTATTTTCTCCTCCCTTCACCCTGTTCTTTTAGCTACCGTCCCACCCCCAGCAATCAAATCTCCCTGCCTGCTTCTCTCTCCCCATGGCCCGTGTGCCCCTCACCATGCCTCTCTGTGTCCTGTGAGCCAGGGGGCAGCTGTAGCATAGCAAACAGGATGTACTGGTGTCGGAGCACTGTCCTCCTGGCCCCTTCCATGATTCCAGCATTGCTCATGGAAAGGTGACCTGCTGTCTCCTGGGGCCACCCTCATCTCGGGAGTGACACCCACTGGGAGCAGAGCAGCATTTTCTTGGGTCCTGATACACGGAATGAGAGCTCCCTCTGAGGGGGGATCTCCAGCTAGGGCTGTGAGGAGGGTGGCTCAAGTGTGATTCATCGAGGGAAATCTGAAATGTCCTGAGAGGGGATGAAATGTCTTCTTGCAGCCAACTAGGGTCTTGATTTCCCTGGTGGTTCCTGCATCTCATGTTTTCTATGTCATTGTCTGTACTTGGGGAGGGGCAGGGGAGTCATCTCTTTAAGTACATATGCAGGTTAAACAACAACAAATGTTTGATGGCCACGTGTTGCTGTTAGAACCCATTGAGTTGGCTGACACTCAGAGGACCCTGGGCACAGCACAGCTAAAGACGGCCCTGTCCCGCGTCCTCACCTCCATTGCTGTGTTTGAGCCCATCGTCACAGCCACTGTGTCCATCGGCCCCTTGAGGGGGTTCGTTTTCTTATTTTTTCTTTTTCTGCTGACCTCTGCTTTACTAAGCATACTGTCCTTGTCCAAAAACTGGTTTTTCCAGAGAACATGTCCAAAGTACATGAAACAAAGTCTCACCTCTAAGGTACACACCCTCCCTTCTGAGGGCCGCATTCCGGCTGTCCTCCTTCCGGAGCGAGCTGTTTGTTTTTCTGACAGCCCATGGGACTTTCATAGTCTTTGCCGGCACCAGAATTCAAATGCAGCACCTCTTCTTTGGTCTTCTTTATTCCTCGTCCACCTTCCCCCTGCAGATGAGGGGCTACCATGGCTTGGGGCAGGCACACCTTATTTTACAAAGTGACCGCCTTGCCCTTTAAAGAGGTCTTGTGCAGGAGATTTACCCAATCAAGACAATACGTCATTTGATTTCTTTCTCTCTTTTTTTCTGGTCATTTGATTTCTTTTTTTTAAATTGTTTTATTAGGGGCTCATACAACTCTTATCGCAATCCATACAGTCATTTGATTTCTCGACTGCTGTTTCCATGAGCATTGATCGGAGATCCAATCCAGATGGCTTCTTTGACGGTGTCCATCTTTTCTACGTTTATCACGTCTACCGGTCCAGTTGTGAGGCGCTTCGTTTTCTTGATATTGAGTTAGGATCCATACTGAAAGCCACAATCCTTGATCCTCATCAGCAAGTGCTTCAAGTCCTTCTTGTTTTCAGTAAGCACATGCGTGTCAGCTGCGTCTCAGGTTTCTAATAAACTTGCCTCCAGCCCTCCTGCATGCAGTACACATTCTCCTTCATAGAGCACAGCTTCTCCGATGATGTGATCAACGCACAGATGGGATAAATATGGTGAGAGGGCACAACCCTGATGCACACCCTTCCTGATTGTAAACCATGCCGTATCCCCTGGTTCTGTTTGCACAGCCGCCCCTTGACCCGAGAACAGGTTCCGCAGGAGCCCCAGGCGGTGTTCGGGAGCTGCCATTCTTCAAAATGTGAGCTGTAGTTTGTTGTGATCCACTCAGTCATCACCGAGATCATCCTGGCCGCCCCAACATTTGGTTTAGAAATTCGATCTTGCTACCCACTGGAAACCATTGGCCTTTCCCGGAAAAGAGGCAGCTGGGTGGGAAAGGTCAGGGCCTTAAAGAGGTGGACAGACAAAGGAAGTGACCAGTGACCTTCCTGGAGGACTGCATCGAGGTTTCTAGGCGTGGTGCGTAGTGGCGCAGTCAGGTGTGCAGAGCATGGACCTCAGCGATCCCTGGCCATGCAGGAGTACCTGGTCCCAGGTAGGAGGTCCTGCTTCCTTGCCTCAGAGCGCCTCTCCTTTGTCCCGCTCCAGCAACAGTTGGGCAAGAACATCAAGTTTGGGCAGCCGCCACCCAACGCCATTCCCATGAAGAAGGCAGACAGCGGAGACGCTGGTTTGGAAGAGGACCTGTTCCTGACCAGCCCCATAGAAATTGTGACTCACCAGGACCTCGTCCTCTCCGACACGGAGAACAAAGTAAGCCCCCCCCCCCCAATGGCCTAATAGCTAATAATCCTGAGGGGACATTGAACAGTAGAAAGGAGTCCAGCCGCCCCTGGACCTGCACTGGGGTGGGTAATGTGGGAGAAGCTCTGCTAATACTGGGCAGCCTAGCATCGGGGGTGGGGGTGGGGGTGGGTGCTTCCTAGGTGGGCCATGTCTCCACAGAGAGGATTCTTTCACAGCTCCCCGATGCTCTTCAGCTGGGCCACCCTGGTGGGGAGGAGGCAGGCGGGGA